TGGGATTGGAAATAAATTAAGCGAAAGACCTGGAGCAGGAAAGGTTGTTATCCTGGGCTTATATAATTATCCATTGACCCCACCAGGTTTCTGACTCGTCTGCTGTATGTCTGCAGGCAGAAGAGCTACCATTACAAATTTTATGGTTGTCAGTAACAACAAATTGGCAAGAACTGTTTGGATAAGCAGCATGTAATTAATATTTTGACGTGCATCCCACGCCACCTCCGTCGCCCCTCGAGTGGATTCGATTTCATTCGAAGATGCTGTGTAGGCTTTTCTCACCAATAAACACATAAAAATATTAATAATAATAAGCTAATGACATAGACGGATTGTGTTTCACAATTTGTTTGTGATAAACAGCCCCCGGTTGTTTGTTTGCAGACTTGGCCCGCCGCCCTTCCATTTCTGATGTTACCTCTCAATCAATGGGAGTCTTGACATCTTGAAGGATGTGTGAAAAAAAAGTTAATTAAATCGCAAGCTCAGAGGTATTTTAGTTCCTTGGAAATTTCATAAAATTTTCAGACTTCTTTAAGAAAAAGAAGAGAGTATAAATTACGCTTACTGCAACACACTCAAGGAAGATATATATATTTTAATGCCTTTAGTTATTTTTCCCTTTGCTATAAATTGGATGCAGTGATAAAAAGAAGAGTTAACTTTAAAATAATATACTTTTTAAAGTAACATAAATATAAATATCTTTACTATTGTATTTATTTTCTAGAATATCGATTATATGATAAGATATTAAAGGAAATATTACGAAGTTTTATTCAATTGTCTTCAAATTTAGATATAGATATTTTTCTAGTGTATCTCCTCCTTTACACATAAATATCTATTTGTCTGCTTTGACCATATGCAGTCGAAAAAAACTATAAAAAATTGAAAGCAATTTGCCAAGAAGAAAGGCAGCCCGAGAAGAAGAACAAACACTATGTATATATATGTAATAACAGAAGCGAAAATTATTTTTCTAACTCGCCGGCAAATGGGGGGGTGGAAAAGCCAAAGATAAAGGGGGGTCCAATGGGTGGAAAACTGCAATATCGCGCTGTCTGCATATAAATTTCGGTTAGGCGACACAAAGGGCGTGTGAGTGGAGCCAGAGGGAAAATGCGTCTGATAAGGATGAAAATAAAATGCGATAATTTTTTTCTCTTTGCGCAAATACTTTTCATGTTGGGGACAGAGGGGCTGAGTGGGTGGTAGAGGGTACTGGGGGCTAGAGAATTTCTTTCTGCGAGGCAATGACAAAGTATAGGGCCAGCAACAAAGCGTAAGTCATAAAAAAAAGTTTCCTATGGGGCGTCAACGAGACGAGCTCTCTTCTCTCATTTTCTTGGTATTTCTGCTTTTTTTTGTTGTTCGGAATTTTCCTCATGCCACTTGCCTGATTGCATCCAGCAAAAAAAAAAAAAGGAAAATTTAAGAACACGACGATGAGTATTTACCCCCTCCCGTGGCAACGATGAAATCTGTTTACGAATTTGATTTGCCTGCCACGCCCAGTGCAATTAGGGCGAAAAAAAACCATCGAAACATTCTCAAACTCTCCGCTGGAGGCCTACGAAACATGGGCGCAGAGGGGGAATTTACCATTAAAAGGGGATTGGAAAATTATACATTACATTTCTGATATTTTAGATATCAGATTATCATTCTTATAAAACAGAAGAAAGCTGGCGTCTTCTTTTTCAAATCAAATAACCAAGACACTAAAGGAAGCACACCATAGAATACCCCTGCAATCTGCAAAAACTTTAAGATCTAGCTATCTTAATAACTGAGATACAATTTCCAAAGAGGTTTTTATCATTTTTCTCTAAAGATATTTTATTTTAAATACATTTTTAGTTGTTCTACTGAAACTTAGGAGTTTTTAATACTAGTCTTCCCCCTTTGGCGGGCGCCCCTGTAGATGAACCCCAGCAGATATGGCCCTGTTCAGTCTTAGGCCCATTGATTGTTATGTAAGCGGCTTATAATTTCTTCTTGCCAGCCAAGAGAGCGACCAAATTGGAGATGGAGAGGCGAATTTCGTGTTTGTTGTCGGGCGGAGCCAAGTGTCGATTGCTGTTACTGGGGCTATGCATTTGAGTCTGTGTGTGTGTGTGTGGGCGGCTATCGGTATCGTTATCGTCACTGTTACTGTTACTGTTGTTGTTGTGGCTGCTCTCGCTCTGAGAATAGCTGTTGCCAAATGGAAAATGTATGTTTTGAGGCGCTTAAAAAGTAAATTATAGATGCTTTGTCCAGTCCAGTCCAGTCTCTTCACCGGGCTTCCAAATGCCCTGTTCCCTGCCATTTATTTTCCTGTCGGAGTTGCGGCCGCCGCTGGCTAAAGTAACAGATTCGCTTCCAAACTCACTGAGCTGTGAAAAAAAGTTGGAGGCTTTTTTGGTGGCTAGGAGAGGCAGGATTAGGCCACTTTAGGGGGGCTAACTGGAGGTCAATTAGCCAAGTAAAGTGTGAACAGCCATAGGACAGCAAACTAGGGGTCTATGTTGATATTTAGGGCACATTGATACTTGTTTTAATTGAAATAAATACATTTTAAAACATTAAAGGTACTTATACTTCTTTAACTTTAATTATTCTTCAGAATTGTATGTTTTGTAATATTGTCACTTGATTGGCTTTAACCTTAACTCGTTTATTGTTATCTTATCAATCACAATCAAGCCAATGCAATCCAATAAAATCCAGTATAATCTTATATTCTTTGTCAACAATGATTCTTACAAAAGCAATCATGAAGTTTTTCACAATTTTACTTAATTCCTAAGAAATATTCATAGATAACCTTACTCTGAATTATTTAAATTTAATTCAAAATATAGACACCTCTTTAAAAGCCTAATAAATCTACAAATTAATCAAATGTTTTTGTTATATATCAATTATTTCCTTCTAAATTCCTATTACAGACCTCCAAAAACTCCCCTATTGACCCCCTGATGATACCCAATTTCATAACGCACTCACACACACACACTCTTTGGCCAAGAGACCCGTAATAACGCTTTCCCACTGCTGCGCCGAAAGTTGAGATTTTCACTGAATTATTTTCACTTTTCTTCATAGGCCGAAAGAGACTTGCCGCTGAAAACGAAAGTGAAGCAAAGTCAAATCCCCAGCGTTAGTGGACTTGGGAGGTGGAGAGAGCCGAGTGTGGTGTGCGGTGAAGTGGAGTGATTGCATTGTCTTCTGCGGCGGGTACATGGAGATATGTTTTTTAGATAGGCCTACAGACACCGAGACCCGATGAGCTAGAGTCGCCGAGTCGCTCAGTCGCTGAGTCCAAGTCCAAGTCAAAGTCGGAATCGGGCATGCTGATGAGTTTGGCCTACTTTCACTTTCATTTTCTAGTTTCGGGCTTGCAAGCGTAATCGTTTTTTGTTTTTCTCTTTTTCATTTTTCAGCGTTTTCAAGCCGGTTTTCCACAGAGTGAGAGAGCGAGAGAGAGAGAAACCCACTGACAATGAAATAAAGTTGTTTCACATTTTTCATGGCTGCTCTGAAAACTATTTCATAGGCCTAGCTACCTTACGAAAACCAAATGAATTTCAGCCTCGGTTGGCTTGGAAAAATGTTTGGGAATTACTCATCATCGTAATGACGGATTTCCCATTTTTCTGGCCATGCCAAACTTATTAAACGTTTTTATTATTTTTTTTTTTTTTGCTTCTACACTAGACTACACACTCCACTCTCATTGTGCGCTTTCACTTTTTGGATTTTTATATATTCAATGACAATTAGTGGCAGCAAAAATATCAACACCAGTCAGGTTTCACGATTTAATTGCAGAGCCTACAACAAAGGCCTTGAAAAATATGATTTTAATAGTTTTCTACAAGCTAAATTTAGTGTTTTAATTTATTTTCTACTCAAAAAACAGTAGTTCAGTAAGGGTTTTTCCCAAAAGCTTTCTTTTAAGGCTTTTAAAAAACCTTATAAAATATAAATCTTACCAAAACTTCTTCGATTTTCGATCAAGCAATCGCCTTAGATAAGCCCCTTATTAACCCATGGTTGCCAAGTGCCTTTTATGGCCCCACTGCTTTCGAAATCTCCAATGGCACTTGCCATGGAGCCCAGGTTCGGATATATAAAAAAAAAAACCAAACAAGTTCGACAATAAAACCCGCGCTGAGGGCGAAAATAAAAACATAAAATTCGGCACATAATTTCTCACTCACACACAATTCCGAGTTAAACTAATAAAAAAAAGAGTAATAAAATCAATTTCAATCAAAATACCAAAGTAACAAAAATACCACCAAAAAAGGCCGTCAAATTATGAGACACAGGAAAAAAAGAGAGCAACAACGAAGAGCCAGCAAATCGGGGAGCCATAAATCAAATGCCGAAATATGCGCCAAATATTTTAGGGAATGTGTAGAGAAAGAGAGAGACATTCAGACATAGAATGCAGTCTCCAGAGAGACGACACAGAGAGAGAGAACGAGCGAGATACATATGTATCTGTATCTGTGAAATACTCTGAGCAGGGTGTGCAATTAATGATTTCGTCAGTGAAAAAATATATATATATATGTATACACAACAGGCGTGATGTCGCAATATTCAATGAGCTTCTAATGACTGGCACATGAGTGTTAGGACCACAGTTATAACGTTTTCAGATTAAATGTCTAGCCAGAGACAGAGGCCGGACACGGCGGGGAGCTGGGAGGACTTTGTCCCGGTGATAAATGAAGGTTTTTTCCATTTCCGAGCAACCGAAAGCTGTCTAAGACATGTCTACATTCTGTTAGAAATATTAATCGTTTTAATTTAAAGCTCAATATGAAGCTAGAATAAATTTTGTTGAAGAAGTGAATAAATTTAACCCTAAACCAAGCTTAGCCCCTCGAAATGCCTAACCAATCTTCCTAATTAGTCCCCGTAAAACCTCATTCTGAACCCTGAGGGACATAGACCCATTCCCCAACCCGGGGATTCCCCCTGTGATCTAAACTTACCCTGCATTTTCGGCTGCAGCAATTGACATCTGTTGTTGGGGCTCATCTGTTAGCTGCAGCGTTAGATGTGCCCGTCGTTTCTGTTGATGATAATGATGATGCGGCTGCTAATGTTTTTGGGGTCTTCACACAAAAAACGAGTACGAAAAACTTATGAAACACTGCAAAACATAGAAAGAGAGAGAGAGAGAGGGGGGTTAGAAATAAAAGAAAATTGTATTAACATTTTTTGTACATCTCTTTTGTTCGTACATATATATATTTTACAGTATTATTTTTAACAAAACGCCCGGCTTGACATAAGTTGCCGCACTTGAAAGAAAGAAATAACACACACACACACACACACACACACACACACACACACACACACACAGAGAGCCCAGCACAGAGAGAAAAACTGGCAAAGGCAAATGCCAGCTGGCCACTTGAAGACTCAAGTTACAAGAAACACTTAGGGCCAAGCCAAGTCGAGCTGAGCTGAGCCAGGCCGAACCCCCCTTTCTCCATCAACCAACTAACATCTACCATTTCCCTACCATCCACATGGTGAGATGATGATGATGGGGACCGAAAAAAAAGACCCAGCAAAACCCCAAGACGAAATGAGTAAAAGGCGCCAAGTGTTCAAAGGGGGTAGCCCCCGAACGAGAGGCCTCTTTTGTGCCGCCGCAGGCAAAGTCTAAGTTCTCCCATCTCACCACCTCCCAGGCTTTTTGCCTCCTTTTTTTTTCATATTTTTGGCAAGCAAGGGTTAAGGTTTAAGCCTAAATGTATCTCAAAAAAATGATTCAAAGAAAGAACTACGAGAGGCAACATACAATGAAGGGTCTGTCTGTCTGTCTGTCTGTAGGAGAAAGGTAAACTGAAGTCCCTCGAAAGGTTCTTTTGAAGAAAAGGCCTCCAGGGAAATGGAATCCGCAAGAGAGTAAATAAGGGAAAATATAATATTTATTAAGCACTCCAAGCCAGTTATTAATTTTATAAAAAATATATATGATCTAATTTAGAAACTTTCTATTAGAATTCTAAGAAAGGAACAGTAAATCTCCTCGTTAGGTCTTTTAAACGGATGTCAAAAGCGAAATGAATAAGAAAATCTATGAAGATGAGTATATTAGTATTGATTTTGTAGATATAAAGCCCGAAAACTCAATCTAAAATAGATTTAACTTAAAAATATTCAACCGAAAATCTTTAGTTTAATTCCCTTCTTATCCTATTTTAGTTACAACTTTGCCTTCATATTTTCAATTTGGAAAATCTTCCTTTGACTTTTGCCACTTGCTTCTTAAATCTCTTGCTCGTTTCTTTTTTTTTGCCCCCAGCGAACTCATTTGGTAAGCTTCTTGTAAACAAACAGCAGTATCTGCGCCATAAGCCCATGAGCTGTATAATCTTCAGATTCTGCGCAAATTAAAGTTTCGCTTTTCAGTCTTTTCTATCCACTCATTTATATGTTACTTGTTCTGTTCTGTGTTCTGTTCGTTTTCAGCACTTGGGCCAACGTGTCGTATACTCAACCACCGCCCAGAAGAGTTTTCCTCATTCTCGCTGGTGGAAATGTGATGTAGGCAAGTGTTTGTGGCACGAGGAGAGCGAGAAGAACGCTTTATTGTATTTGCTTTTTTAGCATCAACAACATTTTCTGTTGCCATACGATGATGTTCACACACACACATGTGTATAGCTGCTGCAGCAACTGCGACTGCATTGCGTTTTTCTCATTGTTTTTGCTTGCTTGCTTCGCCCCTCTCCCTGCCCAGAAACTTGTTTTATATAATTTCCTGTACGCGTGGCACAAAAGCATAATCTGCCCGTCTTGTTCTCTCCCCATATTCATATATATCTCCATCGAATCCCTGTGTCGCCTTCTCGCTCTGTCCACTCTTTTGTCATGTATTTTTGCTGATAATAATAATGCATTTCATTGTTGTTGCTGTTGCTGTTGCTATTGCTGTTCTTGTCATTGTTTATAATTGTTGCTTTGTGCGAGCTTAGCAGATGCATAGATACAGATACACATGTATCTGGCTGCATCAAGTGACGACGAGTGGCAGGCGCAGAGAGAACTTTAAAGATTTGTAGATATCACTTCTCCCCTTCCGTTTGTCTTTTTGATTGATTAAAAATGGAACTGGAGCTAGATATACCTATAGATATATAAATATGCTTTTGTTTTCACGCAGATTAAGGCTGACTTGGTCAGTAGAATAAACCAAAGGAAAGCTTTTAAAGTTGACATGGTTTTAACGAAGTATGAATAGGGTATGCTAGCTATCTAGTTACTTAAAATAATATTATTAACTTTGAATATATTTTGTATATATTGTAGTATATATTATTTCCGGTCTATCAGTACTATTTGCAGAGGATCGAGGATTTAATATTATAAAATACAAATACTTTTCCCATTTTGTATTACTTTATATTATTTGCAGAATTTATCACTTTGGTTTTTTCAATAAAATGATTTGTTCAATATTTGCACTCCTTCGATAAGATAAGATACATATATGTGTCATAAACAATATGTATCTTGAAGTGATTTGTAAATAACCAGTTATATTTCTTATAAAACATTATTAATAAAAGATTTTTGTATAAGAAACAATGTCTTTTTGAACTAATATTTCATGAAGATATGAATTATGGCCATCAATATTATATAGGATGCATTGAACATTACATTTTAAAGTAATATATTTAATATATGTACCTTAAATAATAGAACTCGTTTTGGTTAAGTTTTTACTATTAAAAATATTTCAAAGTATCAAATATAAGCATTTCGAAATACTTCTATGAGAAATCTTTATTATATTAACCTTACCAAAAGATAAATCTTCATTGAGTGGCCAAAATCCACTTCCCAAACAATATTTTCAATCTCTAAAATAGCTACGCTTTATGGCAAGGAATTGCCTTTCGACAGGGCACTTCATTAAAAAAAGAGATTCAATAAATTTTCACAAAAGCATGCTAATTGAGCAACAGAGATGGCAGCACGCCTGAGTATCTGTATCTGACTCAGAGTATCTTCTGCTCCCTCGGATGAGACCCTATTGATGGACTGTTATTGAAGTTTCTTTTTGCGCTTGAAATAGTTTCAACAAGTCGCCAGTCGCGCCCCGTCTCAGACGAGACGAGGAAGGAAAATATGACGAAGGAAAGCAATTTTATTTTGTTTACTTTATTGTTGTCGCGTCTCGCGTTGAAAATATTTCTTGTTTGTGGATTGGATTTTATTTTTATCAGCGCAGACAAGGACAACTGCCGGCAGAGGGAGAGGGGAAAGGAAAAGGAATGTAAACAAGAAAAAAAAAATGCATTTCTGATAATGGTAATGTTCCTTTTTTTTCACTGCTCCCACTTATCTTTATTCCCTTCTTTTCACTGGGTTTTCTTTTCACATTTATTTATAGCCTGTAAATTTTGTAAGTAAACAGAAATATTTATTTGTATTTCCGCGACTGTCAAACCGAAAGATACATTTAAAAAAAAGTGATTGAAAGATTTTTCATTTTCCATGAGATTCGATTGAAGACGAAGGAAAGCGAAAAAAGACTATGAAATACCCGGCATTCCACTATGGGTAACAAAAGGTCTTGGAAAATTGTTAAGAGGTAAGAAAATTTAAACAAAATTTGGAATGAGTTTCTTAATATCCGGTTAAGACTTACTCTTACTTTAAATTCAAGATAATTCTAGCACCTATAAAAGTAACTTTTTCTATAAACAAGGCTCTAAAGTTATCATCAGCAAAGCATCCAAATCAAACTCCTCTTACATAAAATCCAAAAACTTCTTCTGATATCTATACAAAATTAACCCTATTACAAAATCAGCTTAGAACCATGCTTAGCAAGTCGACAACACGCCAACAATGAGACAACAGAAGCCTAAAGTCTGAAGACGAAGACGCGTTAACTTGGCCAAGACGGCGATGACAACGAGGCAACTTAATACGCGGGTTATGCAACACACGAAAGAAGCAAAGAAGCGAAGAAGCAGTTGCACAAAGCGAAAGACGCAAAGCCCCCCTTTACCTGAGCAACCGGTTTGAAGAAGAAAAGAAAATAAAATACAACAAAAATGAGAAGAAACTCCATTTCGCATGGCCAGGAGATTCTGCACATTTTACCGTTAACATAATGGCTAAATCACCGTTTAGAAAACCGCGAAGATGACGCTGTAGCTGCGAGGGAGGGAGCAGGCGGAGAGACTCTTCAACTCGTGGCAAGATTTCAAAAGAATTCTCCTCGCTTCTTCGTTCTTGCCAATTCTTCTTCGTCTCTTTGAGGGCTTTTTAAGTTGTTTCTTATATTTTTTTTGCGGTGTTTTGTATTTTGCAAAACGTAATTACAGTTCTTGGTTATATTCTTTTCCCAGACGTGCTTAGAATTAAATTAAATTAAAATTACAGTGACTGCCGAAAGTTGCCTTTAGGGTTTAGACAATGCAACAATTTTCTGCATTTTTTTCACAGGTTAATAACAGCTGAACTTTAAACTACAAAATAACACTAATTTTCTTCAACTAATTTTAAATAAAGCTTAATTCACATATTCAAAAATCTTTATAGTTAATTATAAAGTTGTCAAGTTTATTACAATAACCATTTTCCAGGAACCCCCAAAACTTCCACGTCTTCAATCAACTGCAAATGCACTTCACAAACATTACGTGACAGTTTTTTCAACCTTCTTGGATTCGAGAATAAATAAATAACCGAAAATAAAGATTATTTATTTAAGCAGGAGCGGAAATAACTTGTACCGTAAATTGTGTGTAAATTATGAATCCCCATTCCCGCAAAAGAGATAAACAAATTTATCAAGCACTTGATTGATTGAGATTTTATTTTAAAAACTTGAGGATACACAAAGATATACAAATTAAATAGCTTGTTGGTTTTCAATTGTCATGCGTACAAAATTAAAAGGAAAATTGAACTCTAAATGACTATCGTGTGATAAGCAAAATTGACTCTTTATCAGGGCAGTTGAATTGTTATCGCATTGTAGAATGGTTTACCTTACTGTACTCCCTCGCTTAGCCAAAACTTCTTCGAAAATTCCATTTGTTAACAACTTGTTCCTCCACGCTCTGTGTGCAAAAACAATTTTTCTTCAAAATGAGGTCAGTTTAAAATACATAA